CTCTCTCTCTCTCTCTCTCTCTCTCTCTTTCTCTCAGCACTTCTCGCTAAATCACTTCCACTTCTCTTGCACCCCCATTTGTCTCTCGTACTCTCTCGCGACGCACCCCCTTGCTCGCATGCACGCATACAAACACGCATTCTCACGCACAGAAACGTCCACGCATACACGCACTCACGCAACTTCTCTGAACTAAGATATTTAGACAAGAATATAACAGCGGTATAAAAAACTTTTCAACACTGAAAAATACAAATCTATCGTAAATGACTACCATTGTTACTCGTTCCCTCCCACGGATTTTTTTATCAAGGTGTGTCTTTTCATTCCCTCTTACGCTCGTCCGTAATAATACGCGCATTACTCGGAACGACAGTAGGTCCGCTTGAGATCGAGCGAGTAGATATTTCTCTAATCGCCTCTTTTTCGCCACCCCACGTGTGCGATCATGCACGCCACGTGTTCAGATAATCGCGCGCTTCTCTCACGTCCTCTCTACATCCTCGCGCGCTCATTCTCTCACCTCTCTCGCTTCTTACTGTCGTGTCGTGCAATATCCATTTACCTAATTGCAATTACATCCCGTTTCTTTTTTTTTTTCAAAGTCTGTCACAATATATTAAATATTTTAATCGTTATTATCAATTATATATTAGTACTTTATATATATATATATATAATATATATATCTATATAATTGTCATTATATTATTATATATTATGCTTTATCACACATATTACAAAGGAGGTGAAGAATCACACCTAACATATTATTATTATTTTGTTGTTGTTACTTTTTTGTTACTGACGTACCTCAAATGTTAACTCCGTACTGCGGATGTGTTTTGCGGTTACTCCTTTTTTTTTCTATTCATTGCGCGCCACGCTTGCAGAAGAGTTCGATAGTGTCTGTGTTTGTGTGCTTGTGTCAGGTGATGTGTGTGTGTGTGTGTGTGTGTGTGTGTGTGTGTGTGTGTGTGTGTGTGTGTGTGTGTGTGTGTGTGTGTGTGTGTGTGTGTGTGTGTGTGTGTGTGTATATATATATGCGCGTGCAATATTACCGCGTCGCGTTTTGCGCCTTTATTGTGTTTTATTCTACTCGCCTTTTTCCTCACCGTTCACAATCGATAGAAAAATTCGAAATTATTTCTTCAACATCTACGGCGATCAGAATTTCAGCTTCATTAAGTTTGTAAAGTTGCTTTTGCGACCGACAAAAAACGCGTTCCATGATATAGGATATTAATCACAAATGATTTTCAACTCAAAAATGACGAGATATAAAGTTTCTTTCCCCATGCAAATTCTCGCGTAATTATTCGTAAATTATTTTCTAATTATCCTACAATCTTCTAGCTAACGCGTTCTGCTAGAGTGAGTTACAAAATTTCCGAGGCATACGTGAAAAATATTTCTGAAATTGCATAATCAAGTACGATTGAAAAGAGTAATCGAACTAGCTTTAACTAGCTTGGTCTCAAATATCACGAGATACAACAATTAAGCCATTCAAACGCGAATATTACGAGAACAGAGACACTAACTCTAAGAAAACATTTATCTAAGAAAAAATATCCACCGTGTACAACTTTCACAAAGCATGTACGTCATGTTCGAAGATGACGAGGATGCGATTCGATAACGAGCGAAAATCATTTGTAATCCAATTCTGCGTAAATATACAATATGAAGCAATTTCACACACGAGAAGTAGAAGAGGATATCCCGGTCTTACGACAGCACTTCCATCCAGTTTCATCGATCGTTATTTACGTCAGTAGACTGTAAGTGATATGTTCGCGTTCAATCGCGTGCACGGAGCAAAGCGTGCACATTTCGGCGCGCCTCGCGAGGAATATTTAAACGAGTTATTTCTTTGCATTTGATTCGTTTAAACATTCGCTTTTCAGTTTTCGCGACGAGATATCTCGCGTCCGTCGAAAAATATGAACGCGCTATACCTCACGGGTTTTCTTCCCCTTTTTTTTTTTAACTAATCGTATAAAAGAAATACTGTCGAATCAAAGTGATAGCGGGTGAAATTGGAAGTCGTGCTCGCCAAACAGGGATCAATCCGACTCAGCTGTAAAGCTATAGGCCGCCGTAGAGACGCGAATTGAAGGATTTGGTGCAAGAAGATCCTCGAGTTTACTTTATTAAATTCTCTGAGGAGCGATTTAAACAATCCATGATATATCCTCAGCGTTATAGAATTGACTTCGTATTTTTATACTTTTGTACAATTTTCATAAACAAAAGATTTGTTTCCATAAACCTTCGATTTACTTTTCTATCGCATCAGATCCTTCAGTTTCCGAAAAGTGCGGCGAATGTACAGAATGAAGATAAAACCGACGTGGCAAAATGAATCGCACGGCCAATGTGAAGTCGATCGTAATGATTATAAATATAGTAATTTTTCATTTCCAAATTGGACATTTTAATTAGGCTAAATTATCCGTTTATAAAAATTCGGGATCATCGCAATTTGTGTATCTCCTTCACGTTGGTGGAGCGAGTCATCTTAGTCGGTTTCCGAAAATCTCAAAGGCGAGCGTCGACACGTTATACGCTTTTACACTGAATATATCTAATACTTCTTTTTCCTCCTTCGTTGCGCCTTAAATCGCTAGCACAAAAATAAGTGTTTCGCACAAAGAGGTACACGATGTCGGAATAAAGGATGAGGAATATTAATCAGGAGAGGGAGGGGGGGGGGGAAGTCCGCGACCCGAATACACACAGTGGGGCTCAACATTTAGCTAAACATTCATATCCAAAAAATCACGACCGTGGTTCACGGTGTGAAGAATGCGTACGTGCGTGTGACTGACGTGGCTGTGGAAAGAAAACGTGTACTCGGGGCTCGGTTTTTGCGGCTCGTAATTGCCGCGTCTATCGCGCGTGTGTGTGTGTGTTTTTTTTTTTTAGGATTAAGTGTACTTCCGCATGTACGTTCGCGCTTCCGAAAACAGAATACGAAGCGACATTCTACGTTGGGCGACACGTTTCGTCCTCCACCTTCTCGCTTGCTTCTCGTCTTCTTTCTCGCGTGTTTTATCCCGTTCCTTTTTTCCTTTTTAAACATTATAGAAAAATTTGTCTAGAAAAATCGGTCTCGGTCCTCGTCCAAGTACTCGCTCAAGTATTGGAACACGACGCTACTCTCTATATAATATATATTTATATATATATAATATGTATATATCAATATATATTTTTTAATTATCAATTGATTTAGGTGAATTGGTACCTAGGTAAGTTTTGCTACACAATTATATCGATTGATTAGTGGAACGTGTGCATGTGTACATTTGCATGCGTGTACGTGTTTCGCGCGTGTTGTCCTAATATGTATCAGCGTGTATGTGTGTGTGTGTGTGTGTATGTGTAATGTGTGTGGCCGCGCACGAGCGCCTTCGACGCGTACTTCCGTGTTCGCGAAGTCTCGGTGCGGGTTGAGAAAATTCGTCGCCTAATATATGTAGAGCCGGCTCGCCGCGCGCACACGCGCATGATTCACGCGCGCGCGAATGCACCGGCACTTATCATATACATATATGTATATATATAAATTTATCCGCGATAATACACGTGCTATCGCAGTCCGCGTTTTAATTTATTTACTTCGCGCATATATGCCGCACGGATTACACCGCTCTTCCTCTCGCTCGCTCCCTTTCTCTCTCTCCCATTCTTTCCATCTTTCTCTCTTCTATTTCTTGCTTTCCTTGCTGTCTCCCCCTCTCCCTCTCTCTCTCTCTCTCTCTTTTCTCAGTTGCACTATTTACGAGAACGGTGACTCGTATGTAAAATTGCACTAACTAATGCTCACATTCGTCTTCTCTCGTTTATTTTATTCCTCCTCGCGTTCTTCGCCCTTCACTCCTTTCTCGCGCTCTCCTCTGAGTCTCTCGTGTGTGGTTTTCATTTCCTGTCTCGTATTGACTTTTTCTCCCCCTCTCCGATCTTTTCTCTCAATTCGGAACTGCCGTCGAGTGCGTAAGAAAGATCGATTGTGTCTGTTTAGAATATTGCGATAGCAACGAATAAAAAACTTCTACGTATTTCTTCTATCAACTAATTTATGCATGTGTATAAAATATACCTAGTGCTTGCTTTTTTAACCCCGCCTCTCTCTCTCTCTCTCCAAAAACCTCAACGCGGTTGACAAACTCGACACAAAAGTCCCACTCCAATTAGACTCGGCTCGATAGCTCTCCGTCAATGTTCAATGATGCACGAGTCAAAGAGGATCGCGACGAGAACGGCGCTTCTCTCCACCTTCTCTCACATTTTGCTATCTTATTAGATTTATTAATTTTTCTCCTCTTTTTTTTTTTACGCTACACGCGACTCCCGTCCACGTTGAACGCACGCGTCTTCGTAACTTCGCGAGCTGAATAACGTGTCTTAGACGAAGGGACGGAGGGTCGTCGTTGAACGCGGCCGCCTTTTACTGTCCTCCTTCACAATACCCACTTATAATAACACGTTTTCCTCGTGCGGTGCCCTAATAAACGCCGCCTAATCTCTACACGGCGAGACGAGATATATATACAAAAAGGAGTACCAAAAAAATAAATATATATGTGTATATATATATGTGGAAATTACTTCTTTTTGTCCCTTCCTCGTTAGATTCGCACGCAACGTGTATCGTAATCCGTTGGTCGCATCATCGCCTGTGTGCTTTATGCCATATATGTATGTCTCTTCGTACGGGAGACGTGTATGTAGCTGTTTTGCGCGCGATTTTTGTGTGTATGTGTGTATTTGTATCTGTGGATTGTACAAAGTCCGAACATGTGTGCAGAAGAAGAGTATCGCGAGAGAGACTCGTCATGCGAGGTTTAACTACGTCTTCCGACTGCTGCTGCTGCTGCTGCTGCTGCTGCTGCTGCTATTGCTGCTACGTACAGAATGTGGCTTTTTTTTTGTCATCTACGAAGCGGAACACACAACGTTGCATACTAATTCCGAGCACAACGCTTCCTAACCCTCGACCTTTGGCTTTCTGTTTCGAGAAGAATTCCGTCGACGGTACCGCCCGGCTATTGTCGGAAGTATTGTGAGACACGCCTTTTTTGCACAACAAAAGGGTCACTTCGAAGGTGACGAACATCCGGTGTCGGTGCTAAGCCTGCTCCCTACTGGTTAGTTATCAAAAGTATCCTACATTATGTATTCAAAGATATCGAAACTGGTATATTTTCTAAACGATATTTCTAAACGGCGGCGAATCGGTTCAGGAAGCTGTGTTTCGGGCAAAACGCGTCGAAAAGTCGTTGTCAGATCTGCCAGGAATCACGTTGTTTGTTAAAACCGGTTAAAAGGATGCGCATAGGAAACGTCACGCTTAAAATTACCGATCTGCCATCCAGAGACTCTCTGAACCCTTCCTGAATGGAACCAGCGATAAATGGCGTCACGGCGAGCTCTTTCACTCCTTTATTTGAACTACGGCGATTGCGTTTGATTATATACACCCAGCGAAGAAGTTCGTTTGTTTTAAGGGATTAAGAAACGTGCACATTCGCGGTCGCGATTAATGAACGCCGGTTAATTGATTAATCGGTTAAAAGAGAGGGATCGGTATGTATGTACAGGAGCGACAACATGCGGCTCTATATTATATATGTATCTATAATAAGTGTTCCGCGCGAAACGCGACCCCTCAGACGCGCCGCACAATCAATCTATCGGACGTATGAAGAGAGTAATTAGGTACGATCGCTAAATATATCGCTGTTTTTTTTTTTCGGTTTCTCGCCCTACGAATCACGGCTTCTATCGCTACTTTGGTTTTTCGAGAACGAAATACCTCCCGTGTCCCGCGCGTGTCCCACGAAGCCGAGCGCGAGGCCGTTTCTCGCCGCGCGATGATCGCAACGCTGCTCGGGTTCCCGAAGAAGAGAGGAACGGACTCTGAAACGTGGATGCTCGATACGTTCCACCTAGCGCGAATCGTTTCACCCAGCGACCACTGTTAATTCGTGGAAACGCGCGTGTATATCTCGTTCCGAGGATATTCGCGTTCGCTAATCGTTTTTATTGCACGTAATAGTAGTAAAATCGGGGTGTAAAATTTGTTCTACTCACTCTTGCGCACTCTCAAGCGACGGCCTTCGTCCCTCTTTCTCCGCGAACAAGTAGCAGACCGTCTTCCTCCCTTTCTTTCTCTCTCTCTTTCTTTCTCTCTGCGATGCGAGGCAAGCTTCGCACTCCCCTTCGTTTCCCGCGAAGGCTCGTAAGGTCGTTCGCACCGGTTTTGGGAAAGTATTGGCAGAGAATCCGGTACGGCTAGGCTAGAGGCTAGAACAAGCCTCGACAACCTGGAGCACATGTCCGTACGCGGTTACGCCGCGGGCGTATACAGCCGCTCTCTCGCTCACACTCGCGTGCGCGAGTATGCGCGCGTACGCATAAAAAAATTGAACTATTTCGGTTTCAACGATTTCCGTTTACAACCCTTCCTGCGTCGTTTGTATGTGATACATTTTTCCTTCTTCGTTTTTTTGTTTCCTAAACCTTCGGTTTCCCCGTTTGTGTGTCTTCCTTGTTTGCTTCCCCTACACTATTTCTCTCTCATTTGAATAAGTTAATTAGTAAAAAATCATTTTCTTAAGTGCCCTCCTACGAGCGCGCGGTCGCGTTATCCGCACGAGAAACGCATTACACAACGCACCTATGTAACATATTTTTAGTAAGTTCTTAATTGCTAGGAGACTGTGTGTGTGTGTGCGCGTGTGTGTATGTGTTCGTGTGTGTGTGTGTGTTCGTGTGAATGTATGTGTGTTTTTATGTGTAATACAGAGAATTACCTAATACACAGCGGTTTGAAGCGTGGCTTTTTTTCATTATCGATTAACATCCAATGCGAATGGTTCGCCTCTCTCAGCGCTGCCTCTATCCTCTCCCTATCACTCTCTTCCGCGTTTTCTACCGGCGCTCTACGTCGTCTACGCGTCGCTTTCGATCTCGCTGCTTCCTCTCACACTTACAACTGTCACTCCCTCGCACACCCTTCCTCTCCCTCTCTCTCTCTCTCTCTTTCTCTTTCGTTCGCTCACGCTGGCAACACACTTTCGCGACGGATCAGGTACTCGCGTTTCTTACGGACACTCGTCGCGCAGGAATTGCTACTCGGAGCGCGGGTTTCCGATCGCGATCGTCCACCAAGTGGACAGCGTCGGTGGGAAAGCCCGTTTCACCGAGAAGCCACTCTTCGCGTTCCGCGAAACGAAAATCCTCGCCGATCGCGATCGACGACACGGAGAGGAAACTTCTCCATTCGTTCGGCAAGTCAAAACTCGGAAGAGGGTGATTTGCGACGGATCGAGACGCGCGCGAAGGTGCATCCGAATCGCAATCGCGCTACTGGCGACTTCGGTAAACACTCGAGGAGGATCGGTCGTCCGACGATCGATCGACAGCGCGGGATGCGTGTGCACGGAGGGCCGGTCAGCTTCCCCTCGCTCACTCCTCGAGATTTGCGGTAACTAAGATACTCGATCTCTCGGACCACAGAACCGGTGCATTTTACAGCGTAGACAGATAGGATTATACGTGTACGAGTAATCAATATACTGAGAATCCGTGTCCGTTTCTCTTCTGAATCCTGTGTCTCGGCGTGTGTCTCTTCGTTTATCTTCCGGCTGGACGATGTTCGGTTTGGCGTGGATCCGATCGTTCTCTTTCTTCCTTGCGATCTTCCGGCGCCTTCGTCGAATATCAAAGCCCGTCTGGGAGGGGCTTCGGCTGAAGCCGAGCGCGTCAGCGAGCTTGTCTCGCCGTTGACACCGGCGCGGCCGCACGTCGTAACGGACGTTCACATTAGCGGCTCGTTACAGATGCGAAAGGATCAAAGATCGGAACAACGCCGAATGCCTGCATCGACTGGCGGGCAGCAGCGGCTGGTTTCTTCCTCCAGTATAAACCGGTACAACTTGAAGTAATAGCAGTGGAGTAGTAGTAGTAATTTGTAGTAGAATAGTAGTTGTGGTAGTAGGTAATAGTAATAATAGTAATAATAGTGGTAGTAGAGTAGAGAGTAGTGGTAGTACGTGACGATCGAGTGGTAGTAGTAGTAATAGCGGTTTTGAGGCTGTGTTTTTGTTGTAGGTAAGTAAGTAAGTAATATGGGGGGGATGGGAGGGGTGGAGGGGTGAGGGCTGGTTTTTGGGGCACGTGAGGGGAGGGCGAGGGGGGGTATTGGTAAAGGTGGTAGTTAATTAGCTAGGGCTGCGAGATAATTAGGGACAACGCAGCTGGGGTTAACACCAGCGAAAAGGCACGGCTCGAGGCCGATCCGCGCCTTCCTTCACCAGCGGCTTGTGGAATTCCCGACCCGGTCGGGAATGAATAGTTGCCCAACAATGCTCGCAATAGTACTGAAAATAGAGAATATTATAGATCAATTTCGATCTAAAGTTTATTAAAAAATTTGCGAGTTTCTCGTTTAGTTGATAAGCCAGATATGTAAAAAGAAATCAATTTTGTTAGTCGATCTAATATCATTTTTGGCTAAGACGTAACAAATTTCTTGTTTAATTAATTCTATTCTTTAACGCGATATTCAGGAATCTCGGAATTTCTGCTTCGAGTTAATTGAAAATTAAAATTTCCCCTTATAACTATTTGACAATAATGACGAATCGCGTTACGAAGTAATAAATGTACCTGTAGGCAGGTGACGTTGGCGCAGAAGAATGGCGCAAACTTGCCTCCGCAACGTTGGCCCTGACATTCGTCACACATTTGATCGTCCAGAACGTATGGTTTGACTTCGACCTATTTGAAAAAGATCATGAAGATTTCTGTTCAAAGAAAGTGCGTAACAAGAGTGAAAGATTGGAAGAACAGAATCATACAAGAATGAAGCAAATCGCGGACTTGGTTCTTTCATTCTTGTCTTAAGTCTCTCATTCAAAAGTCTCGCTTGTTCAAGCCTTCTCGGAAAAAAATAATGCGCAAAGTAATTGCAATTTTTCGTCGTCCTTACTCTTTTGTCAATGTCGCCGTGCTGCAGCTGCACGAATCTGGCTGAGATGGCAGCTATGTAGCTCTGCTGATTACTGAAAGCGACTCTGCCAGCTCCTTTAGGGTATTTGAGCTCGGGATCAGTGTCGATGCCGGCATAACAGACACCGCCATAAAGCCGGTCCATGATCATGGCGAGCTCCACGGCCTTGAGCGGTCGCGGAACGCCGCCGACGAAGACGGTCTTTCGCGGATCGAGCGGCATGGAGGCGTCTAACACGAAATCGGCGTCGCTGAGTCGCCACGGTCGGATCTGAACAGGCTTGTCTTTGATCGTGGGCGAGCTTACGCAGAGGTAAAGCTTGTCCTCGTCCTGGATACAGGCGTCTATCAATTGCTGCACCGAACCTTCGTCCTGGAACATCAAATATAATCGTGTGAAATTCGAGTTCAAATATTGTTGCAACAATTAGAAAGAAAAAAAAGTCATCTGTACCTGGAAAAGCAGGAACGCGTAGCCTTTCGGTGGGAAATAAGATTTACTTTCCGCCTTGTGTGGCCAGTCCACGACTAGCGGACCAAAGCGACGGAAACTGGCTGTGATCTCGTCTGTTGAAAAAAAAAAAAATGTATCTTAGTTCACATCATGATTATCTTATGTTAATTATGATCTTCTCCCGCTGACACAATAAAAAATCGCACCTTCGTCGATGTCAGGCGGTAGTCCGCCGACGAAGACTTTCCTGGAGAAACGCTCGCCGGTTTCGCTGCCCTGGCTGTGCGGACTGCTCCGACTCGGTGACGAGAGCGGCGCCGCTTGGGATGCCGTTATACCGCCGCCTACACCGACGCCGACGCCGACTCCGACGCCGACGCCGACGCCGTCGAGCTGGCTCGGCGCATTCGGATCTTCCAGCAAGGTGCCACTTTGCTCCTCGAGACTCGGGAAGAACGGAGATTTACCTGAAAACGAAATAGATTTTCACGTGAATGATTCAATTCTCCAAGCTCCGAGCTCACGCAGTAGGAATTTAACGATACTAAACTACGTTAATAGGATATGATTTATCAGAGTGAGTTGAGGAACAATTACGGAAATAATTAAAGCAGAATTAGAATGTAAAAATGGTAAACAAGATTTTATGATGAAATAAATTGCACACCTGCCTCGCCTTGTGCAATTAGCCGGTATCGTAAAACAAAAGATCGTTATAAATCGTCCGCGGAAATCAAGGTCCGGATCTGACATTCGTTCCCCGCCGGAGAGTTCATTATGCAATTGTGCGGAATCACGTAATAAGCGGCGAGAGAATCAGGTATTATGTACGCGCGTGATGCGACCGCGCACGATGTAACTGCTTTCGACATATCTTCTTTTTTTTTTTTTTGTGGAACCGGAAGTTTTAACGTTGCACTGTTGAAATATAGCCTCATAAAAATGTAAGGCTGCTTACGTAACGTTCACGTGTCGCTTCTAGACTTTAGAGAGAAAGAGAGACAGTTTTTTTGAAAATATTAAGGCATAAATTGTTCAATAATTCGAGACTGTAATTACATTATAAATATTCAATATAGATTGGACCGAGAGATCGAAAGATTGGCAACCTTTCTTGCACGTGTAGATCTTTAAAAATAAGAAATAATATGCGCATAATAAAAACGAGAATACAAAATAAAAATAAATAAATAAAAATCTGAGAAAAATAAGAAAAATACGAATATACAAATTATATAAAAAAATCTTATATTACTTAATATTGCAAAAAAATCTGTAAAATAAAAATCCAACGATCGAAAAAGCAAAAACACTATTGCATTATAATAATACTATGTTAAAAATACATTTGCGTACTAAAAGAAATTCAAAAATATCCACTTTAATCTTGAACATCGTAAAAAATTGTAATATTTTAAAATTATTAATTACACTTGAATTATTAAACATAATTACTAAATTACATATAAGGAAAGGGTTTTGAAAATTGAGCTTCGTAGGCTCAAAAGAAATTCAGACACCATAAATATTGGTAATTTGACGGCAATCAGACCGATTCATTTCGGAGCAACATCATTTTGATTGCACATAAATATTGCATATGGAAGATACGTGCGGCGGCCGATCATTAATTATTTGCACGAATAATCAGCGAACCGGCTGCAGAAGCAGATCCTCGAAACACGATAATTTGGCGAGAACAAACACAAAAAAAAATCGCCTCCTTGACGCGGAGAGAAAAGTCGCTCGTCAGTGCGAAAGCACAGAACAAAAAAGGAACTCACTGTATCTTCTCCGGATAGGGAAACGCGCTCTTCTGATAAACGTCGCCATGCTTATGACGATGAGATCACGCGCTGATAACGCGAGATTTTACGTACACGCACTATCTATCCGTCGACGGGGTGCAGTTTGTTTCTCTCTCGTCGTTGTTAAGCGAAGAAAAAAAAGAAAAACAGTAAACAGAGTGCAATGCGCATGAATGACTCTACGAAAGACGTCGTCGGACTCGGAACAAGCGAGCGCGTAATGTTGCAATCATCTTTTTCCGTTTTCGCGCGCATGCGGTATCCGGTTGCGTAATAATACATATTCAGGAAATGTAAACGAAGAATTGTCACATTTGCGTTTTTACTCGACAAGTATAGTGCGTAGCAAGTTCTATTATAAAAGTTGTATATGCATAAAAGTTCTAGTTAAATATTTAGCTAAAGTCAATGAAGAATTGACAAATGTATATATGGGAAAGAAACGTTGAAGACATGTGGCGAAACACTTTGTGTAACAATAATCCATCGATGATTCTTTTTTTGTCGATGCTTAACGCACGACATTCAAACGGAATTATTGCCATGAAATTGCAGCGTAAATTCAACTTTCGTATGCGAGAGGCGGCGAGAATTACGTAAGGATTGGGTTGATACATACGGGCGTGTGCAACATCCGTAATTTCAAGTGTAAAACGGCAGGTTTGAGCACGGCGCACACCGGTCGATTGGATCCGTGCCGTTTTAATACATCGCTTCTACTTCTTAAATACCGTTTACGTAAGAATTTATGGCGTTATTTTACAGCTTTGCAGCCGTACAGTCGATTATATCGTGGTGTGGTCATATTTTCTGCATACCATATATGTATGTGAAAAGTCAGTATTGTCGCAATAGATCCGCGAATGAACTTCGACAGACATAAAATGTTATTTATGTTTCTTTATACGCGAAATCCCTCCAATATAACGCTGCTTCTTTCATTAAACGTTCCTCTTCAAATTTCTTGCAATAAATTAATAAATCTTTCTCTTACTATTAAAATGACAAATTGTTGTATTACGATACTACTATCGCGTTGTAACAGGAAATACTGATGTGAAGAATACTTTGTATTCTTCATCGTGATGCCGTTAATATGGCGCTTTCAATTCTCCGTCTTACGTACATTAGCATAAATAACACTCCCAATGCATCTATAATTCATCGGCGAATCGATACGAACACGTAAACGAACTCTAGAACTCGTGAGAGACCCAGTAAATATACTTCGAAGTATCTCTCGGCATTTTTTTTTTTTCTTTACATTTTATTAAACTTCGAACAACACTACACACTTAATTTACATACATACATACATACATTAATCGATTGTTCAACATTGTTGAAATATGTGATATATTTTAGATCCTTTGCTTGTGACTTTTTAGTTTTTATTCTTTTCAGTATTTATTGCTGGATCGAATTGTAGTCGATATTTCCTTAGCGTTCAATTTTAGCATTCAAAGTTTTAACTTAACATTTAATCTTGCATATATCTGTTTACGTTAAAATATTACTGTCAGCAATTTCGTCAGCGTGAAGCGTTGTTTTTGCCGCGACAAATGTGTACGTTTCAAAGCGTTTCGAAATTCTTCTTTTGACTTTGCGATTTCGCCACGTAAGAAAACTTCATTTAGACCATGATATCTGGGTCAGTCGCTCTGGCTCTTCGATGGCAGTTTTAGGAGTGAGATCCGTGAGGCGAAATCGAAGTAACAGCGCCAAAATGTAACATACGGATGCTGAAATGTGCCTGTTCGCGGATATTAAAATCGAATATTGAGCGCAGTCTCACGGCAATATTATTGGACACTATTATTGCCGGCGAGCAATGCGTTTCGATATCTAGGCTATCTTGATCGCATATAAATAGATGTGCGCATTGGATTATAAGCTTCAGACTCGTCTCTTATCGAATTTCAAATATTATATTCTCCACATTATTGACTCGCAGAATGCTTTTCATATTTTATCAAAATGTAACATCGAAGTAATCGGAATCGGTATGTTTTCATCTGAACATGATATATGTGCATACATTTATATAATATGCAGAACGACACCGAATAACATACAGCATGGTGACGCACACAAGAGTCTAAAAAAACATCATTTCGACATGAATTTTTTGCCGAATTTAATCTTGATGACACGCGCATCTCGTAAAATTAGCATCCTCTTAACTATGCATAGCCCCGTAACGAAGATTCGCTAAAATCAAGGTAAAAAAACAGGTACTTTCAAGAAATTTGAATTAGAAAACACAGATGGTGAATTGGCCCAGAAAGTTATTTAGAAGAGAAGACCTCTTCCAAAGCGCAGAAAACGCCACGGAGAAAGGAAAATAACGCGAGAAATCTTAAGGATCCTACTCTCGCGTTAACGCACCTGAAAAAATACGTGTCGCTCGATAGTCGAAGAACGTTTGTGCGCGAGAAGTCGCGGAGCATTTGCGAAGCCAAACACAGCGACGGTGACGAATCGCATTTTCTCTCTGTCGCGTGTCTCTGATTCGAGAAAATCTGCGCGCGCGGCGTTTACAAATTAGTCCATTGTTAATTATCCAGGGAAGCCAAATCCATCGATACGACGCCGGCGTCCGCATCTCTGTTTCCCTCTAGATACACGACGTCCATCCGATCGGGATCAATGACTCTCCCGTCGCGCGGCGTGCACGTGTGCACTCTATAAGTACACATTATTCCCGGTGGAACTCGCCGGCAGTCAAAACGCGACAAGCTGTTTTCCTTCTGTCGAGCGGGCGGCTTTTCTTTATTCCCATAAATTTGCATGGCAAGAATCACTCCCGATTCCCCCTCGTCGTTCGCAATCAGACCGCCTCCCCCCCTCCCGGCCGTTTCACCTTCACATCGCCGAGGGAAACACGAGGCAAAGGGAGGCAGAAGGGTGAAAAAGGGCGAGGGACGACGAAAAGGGAATAAACTGGGAGCGAGCGGGAAGCCAACTATACGACGACGACGACGAGAACGAGGACGAGGACGAAAACGATGATGACGCGCGTTCAATCTGATTGCCACAACGGGAGAAGAAGGAAGACAGACTTCTCTTTGTCTCTCTCTCTCTCTCTCTCGTCGAGAAAGGGAACAAGGAGGTGAGATCGGGGCATTTATGTCGTTCGCCGTCTCTCGTGAAATGGATTCGGAATGTCTCCCGGAGAGATGAAAATTCGTATGACAATGATCAAGGGACGCTGCGCGATTATTCTCCACCTAGGAACGTGCCTGGATTTGCAGCAGATGCGTTCGTGTCTTGATGAGACACGAATTGCATTGTTCGCCTTTGGAAATTAAATTTCAGCGCGCGAAATACGAGATATCATGCCGTATTTCGGTAACGTTAATAATTATTCGAATTATTCGCCAAAAATGCGGACAATTAAATATTAATAAATAAATTGATTGTGCTATGTAATAATTATAATGCGATCGTAATAATTAACTCGATAAATGCCGATAAATCTAATTATTTGAATATGTGAATAAATGGATGAAAATGAAATTGAGTGTAAATGAAAGATCGAGCTAAAGAGAAATTTTTGAAAAATTATATTTATTTGTGCAATGTACTCTGGAATATCGTGTACGTTTCTTTGACGATTACTACGACGGGAGTTTTATATATTGGGAAGAAATAAGTGT